GGCCATGAGTGGGATCTGCTGTGCCCTTGTGAGGATTTGGTAACACTGCTGTATCTTTTTTCTCCAAGGCTGGAATTGCTTTCACTGGCGGGTTGATAGAGGGGAGGAAGAAGGAAGCGTATTTTGGAAGTTGTATGAAACATTTTACCCATATCAAACTCTTGTCTCTCCTCCTCTTGAGTTTTGCAGAAAAAAATTAACATTTAATGTAAAACAGCCTGCTTTGATAGCTGCCTGAGTGCCCCATTAAGCATTTTCCACACCTCAGTGGAGACAAATATCCAGTCATAAATTCCAATTTGTCATGGATTTTCTAAGTCACAGGTTGACAGAAGAAGCAGTTATCACTCTCTGATCAGGATGCAGAGACCATTATGCTCTTTAGCAATATTCTTCAATGGACACAGCAAGAGTTAGAGAGTAGATTTAAAAAGCAAAGCCCTTTGGTTTTGAACATAAGGCTCCTAGAAAAACGTTAGCAGAGATTTTCACCAACGCAGTACTGAGTCAGTAACAAGATGTAATTCCCTGCTGGAGGAGTGCCATTATTTGTTGTGATTGTAGTTATCACTATTCATCTTCTATTTACATACCATGTAAATGTATACCATACTTTGTAACAGCACACCGAAAACAAAGCCCCTGCTTAGAAGAGTTTTAACACTTCTGCTCCAGTGACAAATTTAGTTCTATCAAATATTTAACAGCAGCAGCAACATGTGCATCCTGGAATTATTTGGAGCAGGCATTTACATGTGTGATTCACAACTCCAGCCAGAGCTGGTGAGCACTGGAGGACAGTAACTACAAAGAAAAAGTCACCCTCCCATCCTCCAAGTCCAAGATAATAGTGCAGAAAAGTAACTAGCCAAGCAAGATTTCACTGTTAAGATTGCAAATTTGTAATCTTTTAACCTTCATCCCTGGCTGATGGAAATGAGAAAGAGGAACAAAGAGAGGAGACTAAAGATGATCACAGGTTTGCAAAGGTTATGCACGCAAAATGATTTTTTGCAGGCTGGACTCTAATGCCTTTGTGACTTCCCTCCATTTAAACCAACTAAGAGTGAGTTTTGGCTGTGATCCAGCATTCCTAACTTAAGCACCTGCACTGAATCTAAACTCTAGGTGACCTGTGAAACTGTCCTCCTAAAGTAAGTGTCTAATTTCCTCTGTATTGCCAAATGGGAGAGGTGCCCTTAAAGGCCTCCAAAGAGAGGCCCTATTACCTTCTCTTTGCTAAGGAACCTTCCTTCTTCACTTATCAAGACCCTGACTGCTCTTATAGGTGGACCTGCAAACTCCATCACAGAGCAACACAAGTCTGTAGTTCTCCACTATGATTAATTCCTTGACATATGCGGCCAATTCAAACTCAACAGCTTCTTTCAATTCATTCAAAGAATGAGGTCTTTTCCCTTTCCACCATCTGACTCTAGAAAGCAGTATCTTTTGAGGGACTCTCCAAAACATTCAGAATTTCTAAATTAAAGCTGTCTTCTCTCTGCAAAAACAAGCTGTATCTCTCTTCAGCTTTTTACTTTAGGTTGCATCATCCTTTGCTGTTCTATCATCTGGTAAGTGTTGCCAACTATGAGGCACTGAGTCATTGATTCAGAAGTGGCTGTATGAGAATGGGTCGTCTGAGTCCACACCATGGGGCAGGCGGGAGGAAGAAGGCCTAGTCTGCAAACCAGCTGTCAAGCAGTCAGCACAGCAGGAGAACACTATTTTCCCCCACATCAGATTACTGACATGATCTGCCTGCGTAGGCTGCTCCAGAGGACCTCACAGTGGACACTGCCTGCATGTTGGTTGTTGAACCTCCTCCTGATGAGCTGGCCTGAGTAGCAGTAGGCTCAGCCTACCTCTGCTTTTTCTCTGTCCTGTAGGTCTTGCATCATTAATTGCTGCTTGTGCCTAACAGGGGACGGGTATGTCAGCAGCCAGGAAAGAAGCAAATGGAGCATATATGACAGAACACACAGGATCCGACTTGAATCTTCACTTGGTCACTAAACAGTATATATAATATGATAGAGGGCTTTTCTCTGCTACTGTGGAGCAAAATTCCCTGTCTCAAGTTGCTGGCTGTTGAAATTCACTGTTGTTTGCTGTAGTGCATGTTTGAGGTGGCTCTCTTGCAGCTGTGCAGGAGGCTGGCAGGAAAGGGAGCCCATCACAGCGCAGGGGACCATGATGGCACTCAGATACATCCCATCTTGCAGGAGGCCTCTTTGAGAGCTATGAAGTATTGACCAGCAAGAGACCAGTCGCTGCTCTCTGGCAGCCCTAGGGCAGCACACGACTGCAGCTGTGTTCATTAGCCTGGCCTACCTGCAGAAGCTTCTCTGTCGAGGACAGCATTTGCATCAAAGTCTGCCTCAACACACCACAAGGAAGTGGCAGAGCGGGGGAGGGACAGAGAGAGAGAGAGAGAGAGTCTGGCTTGGTCAAAAGGTAGTAAAACTGATAAAGTGATCAGCTTTAAACGGATGTGGGGAGAAGAGCTGTCATTTATTACTTCCTTATTTGACATTTCTACTTCAACGTTTTTTCCAGAAACAAAGAGACTAAGGAAACAAAGTAAAAGCCACGTCCAGTCACTTGGGTTTCTCCTGGCATGACACCTTTCTGAGAAAACAGCTTTTCTGAACTCACACCCAGCAACTTTCAGGACCCGAATACAAATCTTTCAATCTTGCTCCTCTGTCATTCAAGTTACTGAGATTCTTAGTTTTTATCTCCAAAAGTAGCAAGTTTCTAGTCCCTTCTCACTCACTGGGGGATGTTCAAAAAGGTGACTTGGTGAATTTTAAGGAAGGCTAAAAAAGAAGAAAAAGTGAGCAGATTAAAAACACGCAAGTATTTTAACCTCCTGTTCTGTTTTTATTTTTTAACTGGGGAGGGGCGGGAAGCACTTTTCCTAGGGACTGCTGGAAGGTAGAAATAAGGTGAGCTGCTACAAGGAACTAGGCTTCTGCAGAGGGCTGTAAGGACACATGGTTGAGCTCTGCTCGCTGCCAGAAAGCTGGACCTCAACAGGTGACAGGCACTCCTAAGCTTCCACATTCACTGCCCCACAGGAATTAGGCTGACAAGAGCCTTTGATGCAAATACAAAGGCAAACTACTCCCAAATTAACCTGTGTAAGTGTCACTTAAAAGTAATCCAAACTCTTCAGGAAAGGGAACAATTCTGACTTTTACTCTGGCACAGTATAAAGGGCAGTGCACTTTGCTGGGACTCCCAAAAGAGCACAATGATACTAACACCAAAGGTACACCTCTTCTCATAGTCATGTCTACTTTTTGGCAGCAGAGGGGGATATGGAAAATTGCAGGGGGGCGGGAGAAACATTCCAGAATTAATATCCCAGTGCTGGTATTCAATAATATTTTGAACAGCTTCTGCAACAGGTACTTCTTTCTTTTCAACTTAAGAGACATGAGAGCTTTTTTCTAAACTGATTTTGTTTGGTGAAGGCTAAAAAATTAACCATCCTTATTAGAACTATTTTGCTTAACTGCAAGAATAGCCCCCTACTACCCCTCCTGCCACCCATCTCCCTCAATGCCAGAAGTGTCAGGGACAACTACAGGCAAGCAAGGTGCTAGGCACAGCCTAGGTTACTGATGTCTACGTGTGTGATTTGTCCAGGCTATTTTTGGTTTAGTTTACAGAAATAAGGCCATTTTACTGGAGTTCCCATGCATGCGTATTTACTGCTGGGGGAATATCCCCGGGTGAGATTTCTTGTGTGATATGAGTTTGTGAAATAGCAAGCTGAGTCTGCTGATATTGAAAATGCAGCCTATTCTGAGTTCTTTTTAACATTTTTTTTTTTTTTTTCACATGCCTTTCTTGCAATAGGAGCGTCGCTGTCTGCCTCGGTGCTTACGTCAGCCTAGAGGACCGCTCCCAGACAGCCTGTGGAATCAGAGTGTAAGCTTCTTGGCACGTGTTTCGTTTCTGTTAGACTTAGAAGCAGCGGAAAGAGAAGTAAAATCTGCTCTCTCGGAAAACATGTTCTTCTCTCAGTCCCCAGAAAACCTTAGCCTAAGCTGATACAAGATGACTCTCTGGCATTCAGAGAAAAGCATATCAAAAATTCTGTAAAGATAGATTCTGAGCACATAAATGTTGGTGTAAAAGTCCTTTCAGTCTGATTTACAGAAACCAAGGCTGTGGTCTAAATGTATAGCCCAGATAATTTTGAAAAAAAAAAAAAAAAATATCTGAAGGAGATACATGACCTAACACTCCAACCATGAGCTCTGGGAAACAGTGAAGTCACAGGGAATGATGACACTTGAGATGATAAATAAAAAACATTTGCTTAAATTTTCAATGGAAAGACTGCCTCACTCTTTAGAAAAGAAAACATAGCTCAGGCTTGCTAATTCACATGTCATGAAACCTCCCAGCCCTAACTCAAATGCAGAAGCCTCTGGCCTCTATCCTTCCTTCGCTCAGTGACTAAGATTTAATAGCAGATCACTTGCATGAGGTCTCGTATTGCTAAAACCAAATTAATGCCTTAAACTATACACCGGTGTAACTGACCACTCACACTGGGAAATGTTTGCCTAAAGGCTTGCAGATCAAACACTTGCTTGAGACGCTTACAATCACTTTGCCACACACTGTCTTTCCTTCAAAACATTAAACACTAACAAGCCTGGAGCATATGTCTAGACCTATAAAACACATTGCTTACTCATAAATCAGTGATTTACTGCAGGACCTCACCAATCAGAGCAGATTCACTTTCAGCTGCAGGTACAGGACTGTAGGAACTCCCGCAGTTCTCGGTCAAGAGATGGAAGATGTCAGCTCCAGGGGTAACTGGGAGTGTCTTCGCGGTTCCAGTGGAAACGAAAGCCCTCCAGAAGGGACCTGCTCGCTGCCCTGCTTCCACCCCTCCGCTCACCCAAATCCCCACCATCAGCGGCCACCTCAGCGCTCGCCATCCCCAGCACCCACCCACTCTGCCTCACCTGCTGTACACCAGGCACTCGGTGTGGTTGATCTCCTTGTCGGAGAGGTAGCGGCTGTAATCCTCCCACAGGTCCTTGATGGCAGTGACCGCCAAGATGAAGAGCACGGGGGCCAAGGCCAGCTCCGGCTGGAAGGCATTGACGGCCGGTACAAAGTTGAGGAGTGCGATGAACACAAAGTAGACGTTGGCCAGGCGGTGGAACTGCTCAAAGAGGTTCTTGGGCAGGAAGGAGAGCGCCGTGTACTTGGTGGTCTTGAGGCGGTTGCTGGCCAGGA